GGAAAAGGCTGTCTACGAGGCCGCAACGCAAGCTTCTGATAATCTCCGTTCCTTTCTGGGTATGTGGACTAACGTTTGATCTTGGACGGAGTTATACAACGAGAAGAGATTGATGGTATACGGTTTTCCACTAAGAAATTTTTGATTTGTTCATGTTTCGATCTGTAGAATGCATGAAAGAATGCTTCAAATTTACTTTGAACTGTCCGTTAATGGAATTTCTTTTCAGATGAGTGAAATTTATATTTAGTTTCGAAGTCTTGGTTACAATTTTATGAGGACATATGCTTGGAACAATATTTATTTCACGTGATTCATTGTTTTAGGGAAAGTTTTGCAATTAGCGGTTCTCAAGTAAGCGCGAAATGTGAATTGAACACTTGGCTGTAGGATCCAAGGAGAACTAAGCTATTGTCGTCGAGCCCTTGCATAGTCTTTGGTGTTTTCCGGCCTCAATTATCACGGTCGCGGTTTTAGTTTCATGTTACGATTTTGTTTTTGTTATGGTTGAGACTTGTCGATCGATTCATGTTGCCGTCACTGGCATTTATCGTTCTCTGAAGTCCTAGGTTCGAACCCAGCTCTGATGGTATGCATCCCCTGCACTTGTCATCAACTTCATCTCATGCTACGAAACAGGGCGTTATTTCGTTTATCACTAAAAGGTCTAGGGTTTTACCTGTGTATTCTCAACTGGTTTAGCGGCATTACTCCGTTATACCGAACCACTACACGATAGAAAGTACCAAGCGTGATTCCGATTGTCAAGGAGAGCAACTATTCAGTAACGAGAAGCGGCGATATAAACCTCGTGGATTAGCATAGCGAATCACACAACCATCCTTAAGATTGGCGTGGTAGACAGTCGAACAATAGCTAAGCCTCCTACTACCAGTTCAGTTCAGACTCTACTACGGTTATCTTACATTTTTTACCTCTGTTTCGGTTGCTGTCTTTCGTTATCCATTAAGATGAAGAAGTGGAATAGAGTAATATAAAGTTGCAATCAGTACAACCGTCTAACAGTTAAACTAAATTTACGAAGCAATTGAGTTTCCATACCCTCGTGTCAAGTTTTCGTCGGACCATTTTTAGCCCTCTCGCAATTTATTTGCCTCTGCGAATACCGCATACCTACAAAGCCTATCTGATGACCTACACGTCCTAGTTATTTTAAGCAGAGACCGAACGCAGGCTCAAGTGGGCGTCCTCGATCAGTTAAAGCTCTGCTCATTGCTTGTCCAATCGCCTTATCGAACTGAGACACTACGGCATAGACAGCGTTGTTTGAACACTTCCCGCAATAGCCGTGTCCCTGCACCATATATTTAAAAAAAATGTTTTATTATACGTTTCGTGTGCTGACTAGCAGACGGGGCGACCATCATAGCCACGAGGACTTGCTGTTCAGTGATGGAAACGGGTAACCTAAGCCGCGGGACTTGGA